TTGATATGCCACACCTGTGAGGTGGATGGATTATTTCGGCAAAGGAGAAGTGCTCACCAACACCGATTTAGACAAATATTTGTGAACAATATTTGAGAGAAATAGGCCTTTTGTGTACATAGAAAAAGTCTTAGATCTATGACTTCAGCTCATGAAAAATGGGGGCAAAAACAAAAGTGTTGCGTTTATAATTTTGTCCAGTGTAGTTACATGTTTCCCAGAAGACAAAATAAGTTAAATTTACCTTGATCTTCAAATTTAAAAAGTTTAAATTTTTTAAGTTTTTCTTAATGCATGGTTTTTCCTTCTGGAGCATCAGTGAGCGTTTAAACCTTCTGTAATAGTTGCATACGAGTCCCTCGGTTGTCCTCAGTGTGAAAAGATGCATCTCAAAATCATTCAGTCATTGTTGGAAAGGGTTCAAATACACAAAAATGCAGGAAAACCAAAGAATTTGTGGGACCTGAAGGAGTTTTTCTGAAGAACAGCAGGCGGTTTATCTGTTCAGGACAAACAAGGGACTCATGAACAACTATCACTAAAAAACAAAACAAAGCTGTGGATCATTCAGGTAACAACACACTATTAAGAAACTTTTGAACAGGGTCATTTTTATAAATTCAACTACTATTTTCTCTTGCGGACTTTCTAAACATCTTTTATGTGAAATATCTTATTCATGTCAGTAAATAAACAACAGCATGCATTTTGTATGATCCCTCTTATTTTGGTCAAATAATTAACATTTTGCAGATTCTGAAAGGTGTATATAAACGATTGACTTCAACTATATACATTTGAACAGGTTTTTTTTTTTTTTTTGGTAATCACACATGCCATCCACTAGTTAGGTGGCTACAATTGCACAGAAATGGACAAATAATCATCACTCGGTGAGTCATATAGTCAACTATATATTACTATATTTTTGGACTTTGTCTTTAAAATACATTAAAATGCAAACATTCATGTCATTTATAGTGTAATCCACACACACAGACATGCCAAACTGACTGCATTAAGCTTTATGGATATATCTAAGAAAATCTGGATAAAAATCTGTGCAACTTAAGACTTTGTAATAGCTTATATGAGACTTCATAATCAGAAAACCACTGATATAACAAGTTGTGTCACTGCACCACTATGTCTATATGTGGTATAGCTGCTTTCATGGGTTTTAATGCTTGTACTATAGTGTGAAAGTAATAAAACACACTGAATAAAGACAACAAAGTGTTTTATTTATAAATTCACAGTTTCTAATGGCACTACACTGCTGTAGTTACAATTGGAGAAACAAAAAATCAAATACTGTGCAGTTCGTCCTCAGATGATGAGATTTCATTTGGGCGCCACCTAGCGGACATTTAAATAAATCAGGCATCCGCCACTAGAGGGCGCCGTACTAAGGAAAGCCTGGGGCGAAAAAGCACTTGTACAAGGTGTGGTGTAGAAAAACAATGTGGAGTTCTCCAAAGTGCACAGGAGAGACACACGCAGCGGTCTCTACTCACTGGTGTACTGGAAAAAATCATCAACATACACACTGATGAGAAAACATCCACAAATTCCACAAGCATATATCAGTTACCATTCAAAAAGGAGAAAGGTAGTGAAACATTTTAAAGTGAAACATGTAGCTTGGAAATCACAGAGATGGTCCATCGCACGCCATCCCAATCTTTCCCTTTTATTGAAATCGTGATGTGAATTCACATTCTTTAAACCCCACAGTCTGATTAAAGGTCAATGATGGGATCGTCTGCATGAAAGAAAACGCTTACAATCTTACACAACACACAGATCTGACACAGAAACTCTACTGGGATGTCAAATGGTCTCTTGGATGCATTAAAAACAACTAAGAAAGCAGCGAGCGAACACACACACACATAGAAAGTGTGTTAAGAGGGACATGGAGTGTGTAAAGTGAAGATGCTGGACACACACACACACACACACAATCTTTACATGTACATGACAGGTAGGACAGACCAGACGGTTGCTTTGCTGGACTATGCATAATATTTGCACAACAACGAGAGCTCGGCCGTTTTTACGATTCACCTCAAATTTAGTAACCCAAAGGCAAAGTTCGTCTGAACAGATCCAGCGAGGAAGAGCAAATCACAGCCAGAAGCTGAGCCAATCAGATGTTACGAGCGTTAGAGGGGATTTATCTGATGCTTCATTTGATTTGAATGCAAAAAAAAGTTTAAGAAGTCAAAAGCTGAATCCAGCTTTCTCAAATCACAGAGTGTGAAAACTTTAGAGAACAGGAAGATGTTGTCCGTACCATTTGTGTGTATCTGTAATAAATCTCTTACATGGAGGTTGGAGGGGCCACTGTATCTCATATATCACATGACCGTGATCTCATAGAGCCCAGGTCACATTTAAATAAATAAATACATAAATAATTACCACTAAAATAACAGAATGTCCCCTACAAACTCCCCGTGTATATTTAAAGCGTGTAAAAATTTGTCTTTGTTTTATGACGGCTCCACTGAACATGAAGAAAATGAGCTGTAAACATGCTTGAGATGCTGTTGGGTGCGTCACAATGTGAACATGTTGATATATGAATGTATGTGTGTGTGTGTGTGTGTGTGTGTGTGTGTGTGTTCAGGCCCAGCCTGGACTCATTGGTCAAACTAGATCGTGATTCAAATAGCAGAGAAAGAGTTTGAATGCAAAAAAAAGTTTAAGAAGTCAAAAGCTGAATCCAGCTTTCTCAAATCACAGAGTGTGAAAACTTTAGAGAACAGGAAGATGTTGTCCGTACCATTTGTGTGTATCTGTAATAAATCTCTTACATGGAGGTTGGAGGGGCCACTGTATCTCATATATCACATGACCGTGATCTCATAGAGCCCAGGTCACATTTAAATAAATAAATACATAAATAATTACCACTAAAATAACAGAATGTCCCCTACAAACTCCCCGTGTATATTTAAAGCGTGTAAAAATTTGTCTTTGTTTTATGACGGCTCCACTGAACATGAAGAAAATGAGCTGTAAACATGCTTGAGATGCTGTTGGGTGCGTCACAATGTGAACATGTTGATATATGAATGTATGTGTGTGTGTGTGTGTGTGTGTGTGTGTTCAGGCCCAGCCTGGACTCATTGGTCAAACTAGATCGTGATTCAAATAGCAGAGAAAGAGGGAAAAAAAATAAAACTCTAAAAGAAAATGACAGAATTAACATGGACTGGATCTGTTTTTCATTCAGCTCTGTTCACTGGATTGAAACCCTGTGCTATGTGACATCACTGGTCCCACAAACCAACCACAGACAATGACTGGCGTACAGTCACACACACACTCACATATACAATTACATATCCAACCAGGAAGGAAAAAAAGAGTGAGTGAGCCTTAAAGGGACAGAGAAAGAGGAAATGGAGACCTGAGGGTCATGTTAGAATGTTGTGGGTCTGGCATCTGTAAATCGGCCTAAAATCCTGGTCACGGTGACGCAGCACCACCTCTGCAACATCAAACCAAGTCTCATTCATACTTGCCAATGTTTATCAGTCAGAAGTTCCCCGAAGAATAAAAAAAAAACCCCAAAACGATCCTGACTGGATAAAAAAGGCACATAACCAAAGTTCAGAGAACCAGGATGTAGTGAAGACGGCGTCAGGATCAGCGCTCACAATGAAATTTCGAAAAGCTGGAATAAGAAAAGTAAGATGGTGGCGTGAAAACTCAAACTCGTCCCGTTACAGCTGTCCTTCCGAATGTGGCCATGCCCAGGTCTGCCTTTCTCTTCATGAGCTCCTCCAGCGTGACGGTCACAGGAAGTGGCAGTGTCTCCCCCACGCACCGGGCCTCCTGCTGCTCAGCGTTCTTGGACTTGCGGCGTTTCAGAGACCTCTTCTCCATCTTGCTCTTGGCCGGCGGCGGCTCGCTGTTGCACAGGGTGGGGTCATGTCCGTTCATGGAGGGGGCGCTGCTGAAGGACTCCTCAGACAGTGTGGAAGTGGAGCTCTCGGAGCTGCCCTCTGACACACAATCCCTGGACGAGCAGGTGGATGCATAGCCGTTGCACGTTGACGGCAGGAATTGAAGAGAAGGTAATGATGTTTCACCGTTAACACTCGTCGCTGAGGGGACAGAGGCCTGGAGCATCTCCACTCTGTCCCCTCCTTTTGTCTTGCAGCGTTTCTTCTGAAAGACACAAACAGGGAGAAATTATTTAATGTCTAAATGATGCATTCAGAGAGGTATTTAAACACCTAAAGCCACGCTAACCGTCTTTGTGCTGAGCGAGTATAAACAAATATATATAGTGGCGAACACTTTATCAGACACCAAGAATAGAGAAATAGAAATCAAGAAATGATGGCACAACAATACAATCACTATGATCACGTGATGATACACATGAGGGCAGAGAACACAAGGATCATTTGTGGAGAAGTTGAGGCCTGTTCACACCAACATAAATGTCTGGAGCATTTGAATGAACATCTGTTAATGCGTCTGTTCAGACCGACATGAAAATCTGCATGCAGTCATTAAAACGCAATTGTTTTATTGCAAGCTGTTCTAATCTCTTTTCCATCACAGGGCAACAAAAACTGGCCAACCAAGATTCACTCTTTTGGTTGCATGCCCAGAGATTATTTGGCCAAGTGACAGCAAACAACGTTAACTAAAAAAAATTAAAAAAAATGATTATGGAAATAAATGTACAAAAATAAAAGTGGTAAATGTTGCTTTGGCAAGAAACTGAAATAGTAAGTATTAAAATAACTAAAAATAAAACTAATAAATAAAAATGAAATACTATACAGACATTAAAAAACAATAAAAATGATTTTAAAAATTAAGTTTCATTAAAATGAAAAATTAAGGTGAAACCAAAATATAAAAACTCAAACTATAATAATATATCGACGATATTAAAATAACACTGACAGAAGAATCTGAAACCAGCTTTTGTCTCTGTACTCTTGTATTTGGTGTTGCTTGATTAACATTATAGTGAATACAAAAATCTGAACGGCTGTAACATTTCAATACTATCTGACTTTTTAGCAAAGTTGTTTACCGGAGTATTTCTGGTTTTCTATGAGCATCACTTAATGTCAGGGAGTGAATTTGCATTTTTATTCAGCAGTCTTCCGTTTTTTCGCATTGATATGAACAGACAAATTGCATGTGAAAACCATACCAAATTTTTTAGCTGAACATCAGTATTGGTCTGAACAGGCCTTTACTATTAGATCCGAGCATAAAGTTATGCAAACAAAGTTATTCTTTGGGGAACAAGCTAAACCTTGACTAAAACCCAAGTCAAGACTCTTACAAAGCGGTTCTTTTTAATAAATTGGTCAAAAAGACACAAATCAGTCTTAAACTCATGTGTTATGGATTTGAATAGGTTTAATGACTTATTAAATGGGACAGTTATAGACTGACTAACTTTTCATCATTAACATACATTAAACTAGAAATGAACTGTGACTGTTTTGTACTTAAGGGAGATGGGAAATTGAATCAATGCAATTACTGCCTGGATGCAAAAAAGAAAAAAAGAAAAGAAAAGAAGCTAAAATTGTAGTTTAAATTATGATAATATAATATTAATGTGATATTGTATAGAGTTGAGAAGAACTGTTGTTGTCATGTTGTTAAAGGTCCCATGGCATGAAAATGTCACTTTATGAGGTTTTTTAACATTAATATGAGTTCCCCTAGCCTGCCTATGGTCCCCCAGTGGCTAGAAATGCCGATAGGTGTAAACCGAGCCCTGGGTATCCTGCTTCGCCTTTGAGAAAATGAATGCTCAGATGGCCCAATCTGGAATCTTCCCTTTATGTCGTCATACGGGGAAAGGTTACCTCCCCTTTCTCTGCTTTGCCTGCCCAGAGAATTTGGCCCACCCATGAGAAAATGAGCTACTACGGTACGAGGCGAGCGCAATATTTTTTTTTTCCTCGAGAGACGTCATGGCTTGCAAACGAGCGAAGCATGGCAGTTGCCCCGCCTCTCTCCTCCTCATTAGCATTTAAAGCTACAGACACAGAAATGGCACGTCCTAAGGAAAGCTCATTGTGGGACTGGCTCGTAGTGGCTGAAATTCTGCACCAAGGCTGAATTTCGGGAAAGAGACTTCAGACACAGTACTAGGGACCACTTAGGCCTATATAAAAGCATCTAAAAAGCAGCATGTCATGGGACCTTTAAATGGAATCGGAATCCTCAGTCAGCAGAGAAACGGTTAACTTCACGGCCGGTCAGACAGACTAACTGGAAAGAGCTGCGTTCCAAAACACTCACTGCTCTTGGCATTTACTGAAGCATTTCTAATAAAGCTTTGATGTAATTAATACTGTTCTTGCAGATTGACAATCTAACTGTTAAACTGGAAAAAAACAAAGACAAGAGCTGCTAAACAAGCAGTGAGTGGTTTTGAAACCCCGCCTCAGTCCCACTACTGTCATGAACACACAGCGGCCCAAACAAACTCCATACCTTTTTCTCTGGAGAAAACCTTAGAGGTTCTACAATGTACAAGTCATCAGGACCTACTAAAGAGGGGAGAGAGGGGGCAGGTTAACGGAATGGTATGGCAAACAATAACACAAGCATGAAAGCACTTGCAAGTAGTAGCACAAGTTACACACAGACTCTTTAAAGTATTTTGTTTTCTGCTTTTCTTCAAGGGTGCAACTGTTATTCAATTGTAATGTTGTCCTATTTCACTCTCGTTTCATTGCCAACAAAGTCTGCAAGTGGCAACCATGGCTGCAGCATCAATTTTTAGCATAATGCTGTAATTTGCATGCATTTGAAAGTCAAGTTTGATTTGCATATATGCAATACTTAGTAATCCCTTAAATGTATCACATTTTTCCACTGTTACTACTTGCAAATGTCCAACATGTGCCAGCCAAAAGCATCATGTGCTAAAAATATCCAACCTCTGCCTTATGAACACAAACCACTGATGAGCTCACACACACACACAATGCTGCAGCAAAATGTGGGAGGAAAAAATGGAACATGAAGCACAGGAAGGATCTGGCGTTTTAAAGTAGTGAAGACGGTTCAGTTTATGCGGCTGAATTTGCAAGTTTTTCATATTAGTTTTTCTGAATTGTTCTTACATATTAGAATTGTCAAATTAATTACTGCACATATCACTTACAAATAAAATTATATGACTTTATTCTTTAAAAAATTTATTCTTTTCAAATAAAATGTCAAAATAATCAAATAATGTATACTGTGCGTGTAAGATTGAATGTATTTACTGTTACATTTACATTCGTTTTTGCACATTAAATTCAAATATTATAATACTTATTACATATTAACTTTATTATAGTTTTAAATGTCTAAATATGGTGACATTGTCAATATGAAAAGTCTTTGAGAATCAATACACTGATTTCCAAGTAGCTAACTTTTTGTTACTTTTTTTATTATAACAATTTACACTCAATTAACGGTTTTAATTGAGTTTTTTGGCTTGTAAAAGAAAGAGTTGTTTGCTTAATACGTCCCATAAGATAAGACTCTGTTGACATTCAATTACAAATCCCACTGTGCTCAGTATGGGTCACACTGATATTGAATTATGGCCAGACACTTTGGAACTAGTACCACAGCTGGACCCAAAACTAGATCAAGCTGTAATGTGATCTGTGTGCCATTTAATCCAAAAGGCGTGATTCTTCTGAGAGCAGCAGCCAAAGTGAACGCACACAACGTAAGCCACATGTTAAGTGGGAAGGTGTGACATTAGTGGGCTGTGAGAAATGAATATGGTGGATTTGAGTCTGGCTGAAAAAGACACAGGATGTTAAGAACCAGAGCAGAGTAAAACAATGTGAATTATATGAGAGAAGGGGAGGAGTTAGAGAAAAAGAGAGAAAGACAGAGAGACATAGAGAGAGCTCTGGCACCATAACTCTCTTGAGTGTAAAAGGTGACTCTTACCTTCTGACGTGGGCAGTTGAAATGACTTTGAACGAATGAGAGGACAAGAAACTCTCCGTTTCAGACTCATATCATCATATGAGGAAAAACACCTGAAAATGAGAAAGAGAGACATTAATCCTAGATATATTCTATGCAAGTGTCCAAATATAGATGCGAACTTCCTGATTCCTCATTGATGAATAGAAAGCTCAAAATACCAAATTATTTGAAATAAAAATCTTTCTCTCATCTTTTTAAGTGGGAGAACTTGCACAATTGGTGGCTGACTAAATACTTTTTTGCCCCACTGTAAATGATCAATTTTTGAATGGTATGCTGCTACATTATTGTCACAAAGGGCTAACTTCAAACATCTGTGCTATTAAATCAGTTTACATAACTTCAACTAGCTTGCTCATCCAAATATCCATTTCTGATGTCGCCAATAATTAGAGATGCACCGAAATTTCGGCTGCCGAAAATGAGTTCACCGCTCAGGTTTCACTTTCACGTGGTGTGACGCTCTGCGTATTATCCCGCTCTATGAGTGTGCACTCCGCTCAGTCGCTCCACTCGTATACCGTTCATGCGAATCGGAACAGCAAAGTCCACTCAAAAATTGAGCCGACAGGAAACATCGATGTAGTACAGTATTGTTTCTGTCTGCAATAGCCCTACTGTGTTGTAACACGGTGTGGTATATGGGCAACTCTGGTAACGCTGCCCTCTCATTCATTGATCTGCTAACCGCAATTATGCTCACATGTTCTGATAATAATAGCTTTCTAGGACTAAACATTATTTGGATAATTGGTAAAAAAAAAAAAAAAAAGTTAAATATCTTAACACTACTGTAAGACCTACCTGAAAAACTAAAAAAGCTATTAATTTAATTCGAAGGCCTGTCGTTATTTTTTATTTGTGCTATCATTATTAATTTCTTTATTTGTTCTTATTTTATTACTGACTGCTTACTTGTCATTTTTTATTCAATTCAAAGTTTGAAATCAAGCTATCTCGTGCAACTGCACCAAAATTACCCCACTGTAAAATAAAAAAAAACACTGAGTGAGCAAAAATGTGTGAGATAGCTAGTTATAATGGTAATTAAATAATGCTTACATATGTATAAAACCCTACATTAAAATGTCATATAAATTGGTATCTTCATTAGAAATTAGCCTATTGATTGCCACCATTGATGGACAAATTTTTTAAATAATATAAAAAAATATCTGTATGACATTATATTCTGCAGTTCTTCCCTGTTGTACCGAATATCTATACTTTTCAAATTATCATATCGAAGTTAGGAATTCAAATATTGTGACAAAATTAACTTTGAAGGGTGCCACAAGTTTGTTAAAATTTCCAAAAGGTGCCGCAACAAAAAAAAAGGTTGGGAAACACTGCTCTAGAGAACTCCTTTCTGCAATCCTGAGAACGCATTGTGTTCTTGTATTGTGTTATGAATTCTGCACATTTGGTGTGTGTTATACCTCTTAGGGCTGGGGTAGTGGTTGCTCATGGGAATGGTTGAGCTGGTGTTGTGACTGGGCAAGCTCCTGCAGCACTGCATACAGAGCAGCAGACCCAGCGTCAGACATAGGATCAGAGACAGCACCAGGTAACTCTGTCTGTCAGACACCTACAACACACAGTAAACAATATGAATAAACATTACTGGGTGGGCCAAACATTAGATAGGTCAGGAATGAGATGAGAAATGCATGTTTGTAGACCTCTCGCTGTAGCTGAGCAACTGTGGCAGACAGGTTCAGCATGATCCTGGTGGCATTCTCCAGCTGGCTCTGTAACATCTGTATAGACTCTGTCTGTTTCTGGTCCTAAATACACACACACACACACACACACACACACACACACACACACACACACACAGTTGCAAACAGTTATCCACGTTATCCATGTAAAAAAAAAAAAAAAAAAAACACAGTGCATGCTACAGTTGCCCCCAAAGTTGTCAGTTTTCTTAGCCAGAAGGTGTCCAAGAACATTTTATTTTGATTTTAAACAGTATGTCTTCAAAGTCTTTTTTTTGTCATTTACATTTAGTCATTTAGCACATGCTTTTATTCAAAGCGACTTACAAATGAGGATAACAGAAGCAATCAAAACCAACAAAAGAGCAGTAATATGTAAGTGCTGACAACAAGTCTCTGTTAGTCTAATGCCGTACACATAGCATGGTTTTTTTAAAATGATAAATATAAAGAAAAGAAGTAGATAGAATAGAAAAACAATAGAGAATGCTAATGTTAGAGGGTACTTTTTTTACACAAATATAATGAAAACAAGTTGAAAATAGAAAAACAATAGAGAACGCTAGTATTAGAGGGTCATTTTTTATAAATAAAAAGAAAAGTCGAAAGAATAGAGAATGAGAAAAAAACAAGTAGTAGAAACAACAGAGTGCAAGTGTTAGAGGAATATTTGAAGGATAAACAATAGATAAAAAAAAATAATCCAATAAATAAGTTAATAATCATATTTTGTCTTCGTTTTGATAATAAACAATGTATCTTCATAAAATTACTTGATGACAGTTTTCTTTTCAATGTTGACACTACTGTTTAAATGTTTGGGATGTGTAAATTATACCACTAATAATTATAATAATAAACGTTCCTTTAGCAAATTAGCGTAATTAGAATGATTTCTCAAGGATCATGTGACAGTGACGACTGGCACAATGAATGCTGAAAATTCAGCTTTAATATTACAGGAATACATTTTACTCCAAAATACAGTTAAAAACAGGAGAGAAAATAAATGTGTGTGTGTTATTGCATTTTTGAGCCTTGGTGAGCATAAGAGACCTCTTTCAAAAACAAACAAACAAACAAACTAAAAAAAAAACCTTACTGACCCCAACATATTGAATGGTAGTGTATTTTCTAATTGGAATATGATACTTTATTTAATACAGTGCCATTCACACTTTCTCAAATGTATCTAAGTGTCCAAACACATTATCCATGCATGTTGCAGTTGCCAGTATCAAAGTTTATAAAAAAGCCCAGCTCAAATGACTAATGTTCTGTGTGACTGATAATAACCTGCTCTTCTGCGATTCTGGAGGTGTTCTGCAGTTTGATGATGGTCTTGTTGAAAGCCCGTTGCATCTCCTCCATCTGTTTACGATACCTGAGAGACAGCAGAATGGCTCAATCAAACAATGTGGCCCACTATGATCATTTTAGGTTTGCTAGCATGTATCTGTGTTTTGACCTCTGGCTGAGCTCCTCCAGGTATCTGCTGCTGAGGGACATGTTCATTTCTAGTGCTTTAATCCTGTTATTCAATCTCATGAACACCGATTCCTTCTGGTTGGATCCGTGCACCTGATTCCCATTGCCGTTTCCATTCCCGTGGCCCATTTCTGCCGAATGCTGCTGCTCTGCGTAAAACTCTCCGACGGTGCGGTGCGGTAGCAGAATGTCATCAACAGTCTCCTCTTGTTGAGACAGAGGGGCTTCAGAAAGCTCTGGCTGGGAGGCCACAGCACTGTGGTGAGGATCTTCAACCCCTGCAGTCCTGCCGATATCCGAGGCTTCTGGAAGCGGGATGGGAAGTTCAGTAGGAGGTGGGATATCAGCGGGGCGAGTGTGGGTGGGCAATGGCTGAACCGTCTGCTCTTTGGTGGCGACGGGGAGCTCCAATTTGGGAGGGTCCGTCTCTGGGCTGTGTGGTTCAGTGGTGGTGGTGGAAGAGAGCGGAGAGGCGGCGGCACTGGGAGAGAGGAGGCTGCTGGTGGTGCTGACAGGCGTACGGGTTTCTGGGATGTCCTCCAGGTACTGCGGACGCTGGTCCACGGGCTCTCCCGTGGGTAGGGACTCTGGGATGTTTTGGGTGGGGGTGTCGGAGAAGCTGTGTGGGGGAAGGGTGGAGGTACGACTGGGCTCTAGCAGAATGGTCTCAGGTGGGAGCTCCTGATCTGTGACTGCAGATTCCCCACTGGAGGACTGAGGCAGAGAAGCCACCGTTTCAGTAGGGGAAATCCTCTCAGCTTGTGCCTGAGAGGGCTGCTCTGTTTCTGGAAGTTTCTCAGAGGGCACAGCGGGCTCTTGGGTTGGGGTGGTGTCAGGGAGGGACTGCTGAGGGGTGGTTTGAGTGTCTGTGTCGGTGTGTGTGTGCTGTGCTTTGTGGCGCTGGTCTCTATGCTGGCGCTGTAGTGCTAATGCTGCTGAACAGTAGCAGCAGAAGTGTTCGTGCAAAGATGCCAAACAGGACAAAGTGGAGAGGTGGCTGCAGTATGTGGCGCTCTCCCGCTCCCACATCTCCTCTGTACTTTTCTCCTCCTCTTGCTCCTCCTCCAGCAGGGTCACCGTTGGCTGAGTGGCCTCTTCGTCCTCCTCGATGAGGATGACGATACGGCTCTCCTCAGGTGGAGGTTCTGAAGGAGCCTCAGGAACAGGAACCTCTAAGTCATCCTTCACTAGAGTGGGATCCAGCTCAAGAACATCCAGCCTGGAGATATGATGACCAAGAATGTTAGTTCTCAAATCTCTCATTTCAAACCAAGGTTGCACAATGTTTGTTACTTAGTTATGAGCACGACCACACAGAATGTGAGCTCCTCAGTTTACTGCAGAACTGAAATGCCTGTCACAACTCAACTCCTTGCATGTTAATTTTTTAAAGATACAGTTCATCCAAAGAAGAATTCTGTAATTTGCTAAGTTATTTAGTTCCAATTCCATATGACTTAAAAGAACAATAAAATAAGAAATTCTATGACCATGACAATGAATATCAATGAATGTGGGCAAAAGACATTTTAAACCAAAACTACTGAAAATAGTTTTCATTAAAGCTGGAATAAAATATAGATAACTAGATAAAACCTGATAAAAAATATACAGTGGAGGTCAAAATTATTACAACACTAGTATTTTCACCAGCTAAAAATGTTTTAAAATCAGTTTTGCTGTAGTGTGTCAGTAGGAAATATCAGTTTACATTTCCAAACATTCATTTTGCCATCAATTGTAACAATCCAGGGAGATTTTTGTCTGACAACAGCCAGTGCACCACACAGAGATCTGATCTGATCATCATCCAGTCTGTCTGGTATGTCAGTATGTCATGAAGAAACCGAACAAACTGAGACAGACTAAATCCAGAAGAACTGTGGCAACGTCTTCAAGATGCTTCAAGAGATCTACCTGCAAAGCTACACTACTGTTAAAAGTTTTAGGCACTTGTGTAAAAATGCTGTAAAATGAGGATGTTGTCAAAAATAAATGTCATAAATTTATTTTCTTTATCAATTAACTTCTATTAACTAAATTAAATCAACATTTGGCGTGACTATCTTTTGCGTTTAAAGCAGCTTTTGCCCTAGATGCGCTTGAGCATAGTTTTTCAAGTAGCTTTGCAGGTAGGTCTCTTGAAGCATCTTGGAGACGTTGCCACAGTTCTTCTGGATTTAGTCTGTCTCAGTTTGTTCTGTTTCTTCATGACATTCCAGACAGACTGGCTGATGATCAGATCAGATCTCTGTGTGGAGAACTGGCTGATGTCAGAAAAAAAATCTCACTGGATTATTACAATTAACGGCAAAATGAATGTTTGGAAATGTAAACTGATCTTTCCTACTGACACACTACAGCAAAAGTTAAAAATAACTGACTTAAAACCATTTTTCAGCTGGTGAAAATACTAACGTTCTAATAATTTTGGCCACCACTGTATTACAAATGTTGCCTTGACAACTGAAATAAGTTCAAGTAGAAGTACTAAAATTGCAAAAACTAAAACTAATGTAAAAATAAATTAAAGCTATAAAGAAATATTTCTAAATAAATAAAAATTATAAAGCAAATCAAATTACTGAAACATAACTAAAAATAAAAAATACGGCTAATTAAAAATAATAAATGTTAGAAGTGCATAAAATATTCACTGATAATAGAATGACTATAAATAATAATAAAGTAATCTTAAAATAATAATGACATTCATTTAAGTTAGCTGCTGTGACCAGATCTTGAGAACCAGATCAGTCAGATTTGTGAATGAATTGTTTAAATCAATTTTATAAAGCAGACCAACCAATTCACTAAAAAGATTTTACTAAAAAGAATCATCTGTTCACAAATCAAAGCTATTTATCTCATAAATAATGCCAAGTAGGGCAAGATTTTCCAATGAATATTAATTAAAATTTTCAATCAAAAATTTGTTTGTAAAAAAAAAAAAAAAAAATTGAATGTGTTGAAAGGGTGTAAGGTACATTAAATGAGAACTAAATACTCCTCTATGAACTAAATATTTTTGGCTAATTTGATCAAGATTTTAGCTACAAACTATTTTTACCATGTTTAAATGCACTCTGCATAATTCAGCAGATTGAGTCTGACTCTGAGCCTGGTTATGCAGCAGCTACAGTTAATTAAAGTTTTATAAGCTCGTACTGTATTAGAAAAAGGATTCAGTGGTTGATTTGGTATGTGAGCAAACAGTCTGTGCTGGAATACGCTGACTAGCTCGGGGCTCAGTATTGAGCAAGCATTTGGGGTTTTAATATGCTGGATGAGTAGGGTGTGTGTGTTTGTGTGTACGAATGAGACTCACGTAGAGGGCTGTTCAGTAGGTTCTGGCGTGAGTGTGGTTTCTGTTGACGTCTGGGTGACGTTTTCTGTCCCAGAGGAAATGTTTCCTGAGCAAGATGAGAAAAATAACAAATTCTGACAGTGAGAAAAGGAAAAGGAGAATATGAAAATTTGTTTTCCATACTGCCCTTCCACAACACAAAGAGGGCTATTGTTCAGAGAAAAGCACCCAAGATTAAACACAGAAACACAAATGTGCCCTTAACTAGCAACAGGTGATGATCTCGAGAGCCTGGGATGGTTTATCCAGGCCAACAAGGATATCGAAAAAAACCCAGCTTTGGAATATCAGTCATTGTGCCACAATGGCATTTTCTGAATTCTTGTCACATACTGAGTCAGTCTTTGTGACAGTGAAGATTACATTATCTCGAAAAATGTGCATCAAACATGGGAAGTTACTCTCTAATATGTGTTTGTAAAACTATAAGCCATGAGTGGAGTAGAAATCATCTAAAAGATTATGGATTATATTATTAGTCGGTTTCATGAATGTTAAATAGGGGACATAATTTTCACCCAACTAGTTTTCTGAAAGGCAGGTGTCATATTATGATTACCAACTGTGCATTTCTTCAATTGAACAACCGAACAACTTTTTAAAAGCTATTAAAATATAATGATTACTGGCTAATAAAGGGACTTCTAAATTTCCAAAGTGTACAGGAGGATGTCAGTCTGAAAAGACTCTAACTGCCAGTGTGTTCACTCACAGTTGGAAGAATCGTTCATTCATTTTATTGGTATAAATTTGATCAGGTGATTCAATTTTGTGTTATTTTATATCAATAAACTGTAGTATGTATATTGGTATTATATCAGCTATCAATCACCATTTTTATCTAGATATTGGTATTGGCCATTAAAAACAACTCATATCAGTCAACCACAATCTAACAGTTTAAAAACAAAACTGCCCATAGCGTGCTTTCCTTTTCCAAACGTAATATAAACTTTCAGTCATCCACTCGACTGCAATCTCTCAAGGGCCACAGTACAAAATATCTTGTTAAACAGTCTTTTTTCTTTTAGCCTCCTAGTCAGACTGTTTATGGTCATGATAGAGAAGCAGGCTGTTTTTAAACTTTACTTCTGCTTTAAGGAAAGCCACATGCGTGTTTGAACAGCATTTTGTAGCAGCTCTCTCTGGGCCTGCGCACACACACACACACACACACACACACACCCCCTGGGAGAGTTTGATGCTGGCAAGAGCAGCTACAGAACCCATCAAAGACGTGCTTACACTGCCAGGCCTCACAGTTCCAGCACTGTTGGCATGGTGACAGCCCTCACTAGTCACAAACAGCTGCCAAGCAAAGAGGAGCAAATAAGTAATTTCTTAGTACAGACTCAGGACAGGGTGGTTTTAATATCCAAGCTCAAGGCAGAGATCAGGTCCGTACCTTCCATTTCAGCTCCGTCCTCTAGTTCTGGTTTCCCTCCTAGCACATTTGCTGCAATGTTGTTTACCATGTTCAGGATGGCGTCTAAAAGAATCCAGAGGAAAATACTAAAAATGTAACATTTATATGCATGGAACAGGGGTAAATGTCTCACAATGCCAACACACAGGCTGAATTGTTTTCTACAATTCACCAAACCAAATTCAATGCTCTTAAAATATAATGATCACTGGCCAAAAATTATGAACTTCTGAATTATTGAAGTCAATCTGCCAGTATGCTTGTTGCGTGGTATTATATTATCATCATTAAATTCTGTTATGTATTCTGGCATTAATTGGCATTCTACTGGCAACAGAAGTACATGTTGTATACAAGGACTGTTCATTATTAACCTCATAAATTCTCCATAGTTAATGTGTTGCAAATCTGCAATTAAAAAAAAAAATTAAATAATAATAAAAAAAAAACAACGTACATATACTGTACATTTTTATGTAATATTCCATGTATTGAGCCTTGGTGATAATTAACTGCATTAAACATTTAACTGCATGTGTTACAATGTTATTTTAGTATTATTTATATATTACTATAGTATTTTGAATAGCTTTTACTTTATACTTAGTTTTCATTTTATTTAGGTTTTTGTAATGTGCTTTTGTCATTTTTATTATTATTTGTCGTTTTCTAATATTTCTATTTAGCTACAGTTTATTTTTATTTTTGTAATTTTAAATAAAATAAATGTACTTCAACTTAAAATATGAAAATGAGAAATGTTGCATTGTCAACTAACTGAAATAAAATGTTACCTAAAATGTATATTTTATTATGGCTTTATTTCATTTAAAGAAAACAATTTGTAATTGTTTTAGTTAACAACAACAAGTTTTGACTTCACAACCTTTATAACGGATATTCAAAACGCGTTTTAAAAGAAAACTTGGAACTTCGGCAGAGGGCACACCCCTTCCTTGAATTCTACAGTTAGTAAATTTTTTGCCACTGTAGCTTTGAGCAAACTGGAATATAATCAACAGGGATTGCCGTGAGCAAAGTGAATCTGTGCAATGCGCAACTAACGGGTTTCATCCCAATTATAAAGTGGCAATGCTGTTATCCACTTCTGTTCATAGTTTAGCTAGTTTAACCAGTAGATTGAAATGATTACTTGTGGGCATCTACAGATAAATATTCATGAAATCAAAAGCACAAGCAGAATATGGAGGAACAGCACATACTTGTAGCAGAGCCCAGCAGATTCTTCGATGTCTTGTCCTCTGACGGCAGGTAGCCGAGTGGGTAATCTGTAAAAAAGACGTCTGGAATTAAGACAACAGCATTAGCCAAATGGACACACACACAACAACTGCCAAACAGAAAACAAACAAATGCAGTCTTGTGTCTAAATGATTAAATCCTGCCATATAGTATTGCACATATCTATCTGTTAATACTGTACTTTTTTAACTTTCTGTGAGCAATCATTTAGAGAGATGATCTCACCATAGTCTTCATCCAGATACTCGGCTCTCTCTGACGTGTACTGAGAGTCAGCTATCTCATCATACTCCTCCACCATACTGGTGCCAAACACCCTGATATACACAAAGATACACATGAGCAACACAAAAAATTAGATACTTGCAAGTATAAGAGTTAGGAAAAGGATTAAAAACAGCATGGGAGGGAGTGTTGATAAAAATGACAGTATGTTCCTGTATTATCATAAAGAACAAACAGCCCCTGTAAAGATAAGAGACGGTCAGGCTTCAGAATAAGAAATATTAACATAAAGCCCACTTTGATCATCAGCAAAGGGCAGAGTGATTATAGTTGTTTTGTAGAAGGCAGAGATAAGTTACTCTGCCTTCTACAAAACAACTATAATCACTCTGCCCTTTGCCCAGGTTAGTGGGGGTCTTTAAAAACATGTTTTATAGCCCCCGTTCAATCCTCAAGGGCCACGTACGGAGGAGGTAACAGCAGTGGAAGAAAAATAACAACAGATATCCAGTAAAATTCGCAGTTTTAGAGATCAAAGGGAAGTAGGATTTTGGAATAAATGTTACTCTGTGGCTTGTAAAATAGCACAATGACCAGAAAGTAGCTTCTTGCGATTCTCAATTTGGATCTGTTAAGGTCAGAACTAAAAAGCTAACAAAATGTTTAGTACAAGTGTGGAAAGGATTTTTATTTTTCATCTATATATCTGGCTGTAGTGTTTTGCTTGCCTCTCACAGTATATACAGTAACTCCCTTACAGGGGGACAATATGTCTCTCATAGAGTGCAGGCAGACCAGCCCCTTTATGGGCCTCCAACCAAGATTAAATCTCCTGCCAATGCAAACGGGCCTGAGAGGAGATTGAGGCAGGATAGAGATCAACTCAATTCAAGAACTTTGCCTTTTGAAACTTTTATAAAGCCAGGTGTGCTTTCTCACAGTCAATGAAATTTAAAGGGCAATGCAAGTACAGGATTGTAAAATCAGAAGCGACCTGTTTCTGATTAACGCATAATGCTGCTTGTGCAGTATGCATTGGCTTTACTCTTATCAGTCACCTTCTGAAATGTCATGAAAACATTTTTTGCATCTTTCGAACCATTTAATCATAACCATTTAAAAAATATATATTTTTCTCTCAAAATGAAGGAAAAAATACTTCATATGACGCATACCAAAAAATTCCCCTCACAGTATGCATTAGACTAGAAACATACTTCACGCAAGTATGCAAACGCCTGTTGTACTACCATTCAAATGTTTGGAGTCATTACAACTTTTTGTTGAAAGAAAGAAATACTTTTATTCAGCAAAGGCACATTAAATTGATGAAAAGTGATAGTAAAGACATTTATGATGTTACAAACATAAACTGTAAATAAATACTGTTCTTTAAACTTTCAATGCATCAAAAAATAATAATGTATCATGGTTTACACAAAACTATTAAGCAGCAAACCATTTTCAACACTGATAATATTAAAATGTTTCTTAAGCAGCAAATCAGCATATTAGAATGATTTCTGAAGGATCATGCGTCACTGAAGACTGGAGTAATGATGCTGAAAATTCAGCTTTACCATTTCAATAATAAATGACATTTTCAAATATATTAAAATAGAAAAGTTATTTTAAATTCCAAAAAAAATATTTCACAATATTACTGTTTTTACTGTATTTTTTGATCAAATCCATGCAGAAAGTATAAGAGCTAACTGTGAGTGTAAGAGATTTCAAAATCATTCAAAAACTCATATTTATTATCCCCACACTTTTGGAACGGTAGTGTACTTGTACATACTGTAAAAACTCAACTGAGTATTAACGTATCCTTTAAATATCTGTGCTATTATACACAGTGTTCATCAGCTAGTGATCAATATAAATGTTGACAACAGAAGAAGACCTTTTTGTTCTAATACACATTATAGAGCTCTTTGTGGTCATACTGAGTTTAACAAAATGCACATGACAATCGCATTCGATTAATCGTGCAGCCTATATGCAACGCATACCTGCACTGCACTTTGAATGCAATAACATCAAGGTTATGTGCATATGGGCATTCACATACTTGTGCAAAATAGGTTTCAGTCATGTTATACACAGTATTGAAATTGTCCATATTCTATTCAAGTAACATTAATTAAACACACCTGATCAGGCTGAGTGGACAGAAGTGTTCAGAGCCAAAGTGGGAGAGTAGCTCAACCTACAAAAAAAAATTAAAAATTTAAATATAATCACAATTATCACAATCTGATTTCTTTTTAGAAATCAGAATGATTGCCCTTTCACATAAGCACAAATCAAAACAATCTCAACTCATACACAGGGTTTATTTTACTTAATCTAGTTTCCCGTTTTATTACATTTATCATATATCAACACACTCTATATTATGAAAACTGTTCAAACTTTAAGAATCTTCTCTAAAAGAGCCTAATTAGAGATCATGGAGGCTTGTTACTGATGCAAGTCTGATGCAACAAATGTCAAATGGGGGAGACAAAAAATAATCAGGATAAATAACCAGTGGGCCAATATCACAGACAATTATGCTTAATTGAGAGAAGCATAAATCATGATCATGGTTAAAATACAATTAATCATGCAGCCCCAACTGTAATTCCGCCAGTTATTAAGAGGCTAAATAATTATAAAATAATTAAAATGCTGAGTTTAGCACCACACTTACTAATAGAACTTGTCAACTTTGTTAATATGTAATTTACACAACTAGGAGAATAGAGAGTGCAAAATGCATTTCTTCATTGTCTCTGAGCAGCTGCTGCAGTCTGTTTTTTCTCTTTATCTGCAGTGACTCACCAGATCTTGGTACTGCAGGGGTTCAGCATGTACAGATCCATGTTCTCCATCAAGATGGCAGATGTGCTCTGAAAACAAAACACACAGACAAGCACACATATGTTAGACAATTGCTTATCTCAAACTAATCAATAACATTTCAGATGCAAGAACAATAACAGTAATTAAATGATTGTCCTATTTATGCCCCTGGTGAAAATCCTTCCATCTTTCTATCTGCCCCATATGCTGTTGAAAAGTTGCAGTTTCTTGCACTTTACCTTGGCCTCATTGTTGGCCGAGAGGATTTTGGCCCCGCATTCGACAGAAGCGTAGTTATTCTTGAAATTCTTTTGGACCTTTTTGACTGGATGAGGGCTGCCATTTGATGAAGTGTGCAGAGACTGACCTGAAACCAACATAACAGGTTACATATAGATCACCAGTCAAATTTTTTACACCTTGAATCAGGTTGGCCTAGTATGCGAGTATGAGTGTGCCATGTAAAGTGCAGGTTGGTATGTTTACCTGTCAATTCCAACACTGAAAACAAAAGAACGACTTATCTTTATGTATGCATATAGCCCGCATGTATTCACTATCTGTAACAGATAACCCCCGTGAATGGCAAAATTGTTGGATTTTAACTATCAACAGCTGCGGTCATGACCTTACGTGACAACATTTAGGGAAAATAAGCTTTCATTAACATTGTGCTAATGACAGCTTGCAAAAAACCCCCTGAAAAAACGACCTCAACACGTCTTTGCAGCCGTGGCAGACAATAATTTAGTTTTCTATATTTGATTTAACAAATTTGTTTTTCGAGAACATTCTAGGTCAAGCATGAATTGCACCAATCCTGACCCAAAATATGAAAGGGTTAGTTCACCCGAAAATTAGACCACAAATGACTCACCCTCAAGGCATCCTAGGTGTATATGACTTTCTTCTTTCAGACGAATCCAGTCGGAGTTACATTAAAAATTGTCTTTGATCTTTCAAGCCGTTTAATGCCAGTCAGCGGGTGTTGCATGCATCAGTCCAAAAGAAGTTAAATTAAAAGCGCCCATCCATAAAAAAAAAAAAAAAAAAGTGTCTCTCATGGCTCCGGGGGGTGAACAAAGGCCTTCTGTAGGGAATCGATGCATTTATGTAAGAAAAATATCCATATTCAAAACGTAATAATCACTTTAATGTAGCTTGCGCCAACAGTCCTACACGGAAGCAGCTCCGGGAGCATGACGTATGAGTTCAGCATTGCGCCTGTGAGTCTCGTGAAAACCAATGTTTGTTAACAGGAGCAAAGGAAGCAAAGTTTCCTTACTTGAGCAAAGGAAAACCAGTCTCCTCTTGGCTTATATTGAAATCCTCCAACAATCTTCTTTACAAATCATCGTTTTGTACTTCTAATAATTGACCGTTGTTTTGTTTTGATCTCTCCCCTGCGCTTCCACGTTCGTCACCTCTGAGCGGCGCATGCGCAAAGCTGATCTCATACGTCATCCGCCCGTATCTGCTTCCGTGTAGTACTGTTGGCGCAAGTTACATTAAAGTGATTATTAAGTTTTGAATATGAATATTTTTCTTACAAAAACGCATCGATTTGCTACAGGAGGCCGTGTGAGGCACTTTCTTTTATGGATGGATGCGCTTTATTTCACTTCTTTTGGACTGATGCTTGCAACCCCCGCTGAGTGGCATTAAACAGCTTGAAAGATCAAAGACCATTTTTAATAACTTCATCTGAAAGAAGTCATACACCTAGGATGATTTATTGGGTGAGTAATTTGTGGGCTAATTTAAATTTTTGGGTGAACTAACCCTTTAAGGAAACTGATAAAATTTCAGTTGTGTGATACTGTGATTCATAATCCTCACTTGAACCCAAATTCTATGTACTTGAAGAGTTGCTCTTTAAGAGCTCTCTAGTTTTATTGTGTGTACTGCACCCGCTAATTAATGATGACAAGGGTCAATTAACATACTGTTAGCCAGTGGTTGTTAATTAGTTGACTTTGTGATTTGAATGTGCACACAAACACACCCAGAGATGTGAAAATTTTAATTTAATTAAATTAAAAAAATTTATTGTTTAGCTGGCCTGGAGCATGAGCTTAGAATCTAGTTACTTTTGATGCAGTGTACTGAAGCAATCCATTACAGCAGCTTACACGTGTGCATACTGGGTTATGCAACAGTCACTGTGCTCGCCACTGAACCGACAAATGTGAGCAAAAAAAACCCACCTATTATTATAAGCAAGAAAAAGCAAGGGAGGGAAACAGAAATTCTTGATAGAAAGAGATCAAAAGAAAGGGACAGCTCTGTGAAATCAAGCAGAAGTGTGTCCTAAAGGAAGTGCGTGTGAGTGTGTACTGATGCAGAAGAAGCACGGAGGCAGCCTGCCATGTGATGATTCACTGATGAACACGCAGCTCTGTGAGTGTGCACATGACCCAAAGCCACCTCTTACTTTTCTTCTCCTCTACTTCCATCACTTTCTTCTTCCACTCATCAAAAGTGGGGATGTCCTCTTTACTGGGTACAGGAGGGTCTGTAGCTCCCTCATGGTCCACCACCTGAAAAAAAAAAACATATTTATCAAATTTTTATTACAGTGAACAAACCACAACCCAAACTTCCTTGGCCCTAAAACTGTGAAATGTTTTCTATTTCAGCAGCATTATGCTGGGTAGCTACAGCAAAAGTGAAATTGGTAATGGTAATGGTACATAACTGTAAATGAAACATTATATATTATATTTAGTGATTAATCGCATCCAAACTAATTTTTTCTTTACATAATGTGTGTGTGTACTGTGTATATTTATTATCTATATTTAAATACAAACACATGCATGTATGTATTTAATGGCTGTAAGAAAAATATCCATATTCAAAACGTAATAATCACTTTAATGTAGCTTGCACCAACAGTCCTACACGGAAGCAGCTCCGGGAGCATGACGTATGAGTTCAGCATTGCGCCTGTGAGTCTCGTGAAAACCAATGTTTGTTAACAGGAGCAAAGGAAGCAAAGTTTCCTTACTTGAGCAAAGGAAAACCAGTCTCCTCTTGGCTTATATTGAAATCCTCCAACAATCTTCTTTACAAATCATCGTTTTGTACTTCTAATAATTGACCGTTGTTTTGTTTTGATCTCTCCCCTGCGCTTCCACGTTCGTCACCTCTGAGCGGCGCATGCGCAAAGCTGATCTCATACGTCATCCGCCCGTATCTGCTTCCGTGTAGTACTGTTGGCGCAAGTTACATGAAAGTGATTATTAAGTTTTGAATATGAATATTTTTCTTACAAAAACGCATCGATTCGCTACAGGAGGCCCTTGCTCACCCCCCGGAGCCATGTGAGACATTTTTTTTTAATTTAATTTCTTTTGGACTGATGCATGCAACCCCCGCTGAGTGGCATTAAACAGCTTGAAAGATCAAAGACCATTTTTAATAACTTCATCTGAAAGAAGTCATACACCTAGGATGATTTATTGCAACCCCCGCTGAGTGGCATTAAACCGCTTGAAAGATCAAAGACCATTTTTAATAACTTCATCTGAAAGAAGTCATACACCTAGGATGATTTATTGGGTGAGTAATTTGTGTAGTTAAATTTTTGGGTGAACTAACCCTTTAAGGAAACTGATAAAATTTCAGTTGTGTGATACTGTGATTCATAATCCTCACTTGAACCCAAATTCTATGTACTTGAAGAGTTGCTCTTTAAGAGCTCTCTAGTTTTATTGTGTGTACTGCACCCGCTAATTAATGATGACAAGGGTCAATTAACATACTGTTAGCCAGTGGTTGTTAATTAGTTGACTTTGTGATTTGAATGTGCACACAAACACACCCAGAGATGTGAAAATTTTAATTTAATTAAATTAAAAAAATTTATTGTTTAGCTGGCCTGGAGCATGAGCTTAGAATCTAGTTACTTTTGATGCAGTGTACTGAAGCAATCCATTACAGCAGCTTACACGTGTGCATACTGGGTTATGCAACAGTCACTGTGCTCGCCACTGAACCGACAAATGTGAGCAAAAAAAACCCACCTATTATTATAAGCAAGAAAAAGCAAGGGAGGGAAACAGAAATTCTTGATAGAAAGAGATCAAAAGAAAGGGACAGCTCTGTGAAATCAAGCAGAAGTGTGTCCTAAAGGAAGTGCGTGTGAGTGTGTACTGATGCAGAAGAAGCACGGAGGCAGCCTGCCATGTGATGATTCACTGATGAACACGCAGCTCTGTGAGTGTGCACATGACCCAAAGCCACCTCTTACTTTTCTTCTCCTCTACTTCCATCACTTTCTTCTTCCACTCATCAAAAGTGGGGATGTCCTCTTTACTGGGTACAGGAGGGTCTGTAGCTCCCTCATGGTCCACCACCTGAAAAAAAAAACATATTTATCAAATTTTTATTACAGTGAACAAACCACAACCCAAACTTCCTTGGCCCTAAAACTGTGAAATGTTTTCTATTTCAGCAGCATTATGCTGGGTAGCTACAGCAAAAGTGAAATTGGTAATGGTAATGGTACATAACTGTAAATGAAACATTATATATTATATTTAGTGATTAATCGCATCCAAACGAATTTTTTCTTTACATAATGTGTGTGTGTACTGTGTATATTTATTATCTATATTTAAATACAAACACATGCATGTATGTATTTAATGGCTCGTTTCCACTGAGTGGTACGGTACAGTACAGTTCGATTCGGTACGGGTAACCCTGACCCAGCTTGTGTTTCCACTGCCAATAGTACCCTTCTTGATAGGCGTGGTGAATGCATAGACTGTGGTGTATGCCGGAAAGTAGCGATTGAAAGAAACTCTTTTTGTTAAATGTCAGTTTTAATGAACAATAATAGCCATTATAAAAGTATAAGTACAAAGTATAAGAGGAAATAAAGAGAAAAGCAAACGATTCAGTCAAACGTATGCTACAAAGTCAGCGCTGTACTACGGTAAAAGTTCAAATTAAATATATAAAGTTAAACATAATTTGTGCTCAGCCAAAACGATATGACCAGGAATAAATAATAGATTCATGAGACCACGAATGCCTGTTAAATACAGCCTACCCAAAACGAATTGTATCTTGTGTTTAATCACTACAGAGGCATCAGAGCCAGCAGCAAATGTCAGAAGGACTAGCCGAGCTAAGGCTGCTCTCGGCGGATACATGAGCACGGAGCGCCCGGTGATCGCCTGGAGCTCCAAAATTGGCATAGCAAATTTTCTAATAGGTGCTCTCTTTATAAATAAACCACAGATTTGAGTTTTAAACAATTAAATTTTCACCTGGAAAAACTCTTAAAACTACATTTCATGACACAATAACAGTAATATTTAGAAAATTACGTGGGTTTTTGGGCAATGACGTTTCACAAGTCCACAAGAACAGACAAGAACGCATATTGAGAAACAGCTATTGTCTGTGTGAAAACATAAAATTATAAAATACACGGTTATATTTTTTTGCGTTTGCGCACTCTGATGTAAATAAGCCCAACACTCATGGACAGCAGAGCGGAACGAGGGAAGGACGCTTTATCCCCTTGTATCACGCAAAAATTACGATTCTAGTCAACCAATCAACGTTCTGCAGTGAGTTTAGCCATACCCTTTTGGTACACTTTGCTGTGCTAGGTACCCCAACGGAAGGGTACCAAAAAAGTGGTACGGTTCGCTATTTTGGTACCATTCACAACTTCTGACAGTCGAAACGGAAATAATTGCGTACCGTACTGTACCGAACCGTACCACTCAGTGGAAACGAGCCATAAGAAAAATTTTATGTTTATATATTAAATATATTTATATATAATATAAAATATAAGAATATAAATAAATACACACATGTAAATATACATTGAAGATGAAACGTGGCTGGGTCTTTCAGCATGACAATGATCCCAAACACACCGCCCGGGCAACGAAGGAGTGGCTTCGTAAGAAGCATTTCAAGGTCCTGGAGTGGCCTAGCCGGTCTCCAGATCTCAACCCCATAGAACATCTTTGGAGGGAGTTGAAAATCCGTGTTGCCCAGCGACAGCCCCAAAACATTACTGCTCTAGAGGAGATCTGCATGGAGGAATGGGCCAAAATACCAGCAACAGTGTGTGAAAACCTTGTGAAGACTTACAGAAAACGTTTGACCTCTGTCATTGCCAACAAAGGGTATATAACAAAGTATTGAGATGAAATTTTGTTATTGACCAAATACTTATTTTCCACCATAATTTGCAAATAAATTCTTTAAAAATCCTACAATGTGATTTTCTGGATTTTTTTTCCTCATTTTGTCTCTCATAGTTGAGGTATACCTATGATGAAAATTACAGGCCTCTCTCATCTTTTTAAGTGGGAGAACTTGCACAATTGGTGGCTGACTAAATACTTTTTTTCCCCACTGTACATAATAAATATACACAGTACACATACATATATCATGTAAACAAAAACGTTTATTTTGTATTATTTGATTATTTTGATTAATCGTTTGACAGCACTAATTATATTATATTATTCTAATAATATAATACAATTATGAACTGTTTGAATCTTTTGAACTGTTTGAATCCTGAAAATATTAAATCCATCACTGTTTCCACAAAATATTAACTGTTTCCAATCTTGATAAGAAATTTTTCTTGAGCAGCATATTAGAATGATCCCGTATCAAAGGAATACTTTTCATTATAAATATGAAAAAAAAAAAAAAAGTTGTTTTAATTTTAGGGCTGTGATGGTGGCAGATTTTTACCATCGCGGTGGTAATGGACCAATTACCGTTGGTGGCGTGGTGTTGTTAGGCCTATATACAGTATAATATATATATATATATATATATATATATATATATATATATATATATATATAAATAAATGACATAAATGACATTATACATTTTACACAAAAGGGTGGTCTTTCCTTCTATCTCCTCATCACTTTCCCTTTTTCTTGTCTCCCTTATCTCTATCCCTCTCTGTGAGTGTGTAAATGCCTAAATAGCAGCGCTGAGTGAGCATTTGGTTAATTAAACATTTACAAGGCTGTCCTGTGGAAAACAAACATGCTGATGTACTCTCTCTTCTTCCTCTCCTCCACTCTTATGCTTTCTCTTCCACTTTCATCTTCTCCATTTAGGGTGTATGTGTCAGAGCAGCTTTACAAGAGAGGAGGGGATGTTTTAGCTCTGCAGATCTCTAACAGCAGGGTGTGGAGAGGCTCAGTGGTAATCGAATACAAACCCTTTCACTCTCTACATAAAAAAGGGAAAAAGGTAAGGAAGGAACACTACGGAGTGCAAAATGTAGAGATTATTGTCATCAAGCTCTTTTAGGTGGTGTACGCTAAGGAAAAACAAAACTATAAAATATTTCAGTGCTTGAAATAGCTTTAAAATACAGACATTATAGCTTTTAGCTCCATACCTGAAATCTATCCAATTATGTCATTATAAAAAGGACAAATCTGAATGGATGATCTGACAAGATATTAATACTTAGACTAAGTTTGGGATCATTATTATTTTTTTTTTTTAAGTAATATTTTTATTTAGCAAAGATGCATCAAAGTCAGGGCTCGAAATTGCGACCGTTTTGGTCGCATACGCTCTTAGGGCCCACCTCACACTGACTGGCACTAGAGTTCTCTACAGGGGCATCAGGACGCGGAACATCTAGTCCACTGAAGGAAAGAAATCAAATTGGGTTTACACCAAGAGAAAGGAAAATAGAGAGGAATGGGAGAGGAATACTAATAGAGAGAGGGAGGGGGATAGAAAGGATAAGAGAGAGAAAGTAATCTGGCTCCACGTATGGACTGAACATTTGTCCAGGGCTCCATAGAGGTTCTTGAAGTACTGGTTTATTACATTTTAAATCGCAAAGTGATATTGTTTTTTTTCGGTCCTTGTTGAAATGGAAGATTCGTAAACGCTCCAAGTCCGGTGAAAACAAGTCATAGTGGACTAGTAAAGAAGGTGAGATCCACTGTGATGCAGTTGAAAAAACGTCCAAAGTAGGTGCCATATGAAGTCCATGAAGTGATGATTGTATGCTTTACTGATTCAGTTTAAAAGTTTGGATGCAGAAATGGATCACAGAAATGACTCGATAAGAAAATAAAATGAATGAAATGACAAACATTTAAAGTTCCCACCCTCTTCTCTCCCAAACGGTTGTGCTTGTACTCACCTGGAGGAGCTCTCGGAGGAGGTGACTGAGGTAGGTGAGGCTGACTCTGGGCTCTTCTGGAGTTCAGCAGGAGGTGCAGACGGGTCTTCTCCATGTGGGTCAGTCTGTGGGGGGGTTAAAGCAGCGGAGGCGTGGGCACCCTGATCTTCTGTGGCAGTGGCCTGTAGAGTTTCAGGGTCTGGCTGGGGCTGGGAGAGTGGCGGTGCTGTTTGGGGCTGTGTAAGTGTTGGTGGCTGAGCTGACTGTTGTTGGTCTGATTGTTGGGTGCTCTGGGGTTCTGGTTGCTGCTCCTGCTGCTGTTGTTGTTGTTGTTGTTCTAGCTCAGGGAGAGCAGACTCAAGCTGAATCTGCGGCTCCTCCAAAACTTCTTCCAAATTCACAGTCTACAATGACAGAAACATAGATAAAGAGATTAACAATTAAGCAACAGAAGAAGGGTTTGCTATTAAAAAAAAATCTTGACTATGATTTGGTTGCAGACATGAGCTGGAAGATCACAGCAATAGAGTCTGATTCTGGCAGTAAATCTTATTCATTTTCTCCATAAGGGAGTTGATTTTTAACTGAAAAACAGTTAAAGACAGACCCACCGTGAGCTACAAGGTTGTTAATCGACAGTATATGCTTTTGTTGAAGCCATCAGCCTGCATTATATCAACTTATTTTTTTAAAGAGCTAGTTCACCCAAAAATGGAAATTCTGTCATTAATTACTCACCCTCATGTCAATCCAAACCCGTAAGACCTTCGTTCATCTTCGGAACAAAAATAAGATAAATCAAGACATTTTTGATGAAATCCGAGAGCTTTCTGTCCCTGCATAGACAGCAATGCAACTACCATGTTCAAGGCCCAGAAACATAGTAATGACATTGTTAACATAGTAAATGTGCGTCGAAGACTGACACAGAAGAGAAGAAATAGTTGAATAAAGTCTTTATTTTAGTTTTCTATGTGCACAAAAAGTATTCTCGTAGCTTCATAAAATTACGGTTGAATCAGTGATGTCACATGGACTATTTTAACTATGTCCTTACTATGTTTTTGGGCCTTGAACGATTTTGTTACGTTGCTGTCTATGCAGGGTCAGAAAGCTCTCGTATTTCATCAAAAAAATATATTCAAACCCGTAAGACCTTCGTTCATCTTCGGAACAAAAATAAGATAAATCAAGACATTTTTGATGAAATCCGAGAGCTTTCTGTCCCTGCATAGACAGCAATGCAACTACCATGTTCAAGGCCCAGAAACGTAGTAATGACATTGTTAACATAGTAAATGTGCGTCGAAGACTGACACAGAAGAGAAGAAATAGTTGAATAAAGTCTTTATTTTAGTTTTCTATGTGCACAAAAAGTATTCTCGTAGCTTCATAAAATTACGGTTGAATCAGTGATGTCACATGGACTATTTTAACTATGTCCTTACTATGTTTTTGGGCCTTGAACGATTTTGTTACGTTGCTGTCTATGCAGGGTCAGAAAGCTCTCGTATTTCATCAAAAATATATATATTTTTTATATATATTTTGTTCCGAAGATAAACGAAGGTAATTAATGACAGAATTTTCATTTTTGGATGAACTTTCACTTTAAATAATTATGTTTAACAGAGTTCATGGTGAAAAATTACATTACCCATGATTATGCAAAAAAATCTCCTCCAATCAGAGAATTGTGTCAAGCAAATTGCCCCAAAAGAGCTTTTCAGTGCCCACCTACTGTCATGAAGCACTGCGAATTTCTCAATCTACTTTAATATTTGTATAAACATGCATATTTAGCATTTTTCTAAATCTCTCAAAATACTTCTGGAACCAAAATCAGGCGGGCACTGATTACTCTATGTTGTTGTTCATAATGAACCAAAGGTTTATTGCTTTTATGCAAAGAGTTTAGTCAAAGAAAAGTAAGTCAACTAAAATAAATATAAGATGTCAAATGTGTGGGTCACATACAAGGTTGAGATAGGTAATAAAAGAAAACAGATATGATGGTTAGATTGCACTGGCACCTGTTTGTGCTTCTCTTCGTGCAGGGCGTCTTGTGAGTGCAATGATGTTTCCTTTAGTGCAGCTCTCTCTGTCTCCAGACCCACGTCGTACGATGACTGCGTGTGTGTCGCCCTTTCCTCTTCAACCTGAAAGAGAAAAACAATGTTACTTATGAGTAAAATATCTAAATAAAGAGCAAGAAAGGGTTACAAGGTCAGTTTCTTACACAAACAATTTTATGGCATTTGGTTTGTTCTTTTTGGAGCTTGACTGCCTCTGTCTGGTTACATGTATTGATGAGAGATTCTTTTAACAACAGATAAGTTGACAGAACTGGCTTTGTTTCTATGAGGGTGGAAGATATGTTTTTCAAGGGCAAACAGCTATCGTTCAAGTTTGGCAGGAGCAAAGAGAAAACACTTTTGTGACTGCCGGAGGGGGAAAAAATGTGCTGAAGTGCAAAAAGGGTAAGTTTACAGATTCACGCTTTAGCTGAACATTAAAATGCTTCTTTAACTTTAAAGATGGCATGATAACAAAAGCTAAACTGGGATTAATCAGTCAGCCACTAAGAAATATTGGACAACCAGAAGAATCCACATCCCTATACAGTCTTAAATCTATAGGTTACACAAGAGGAGGAGGGTCTTTGTTGGGGCCCCTGTCTTTAAGTCCCTTTATAGATTAGCCTGCTGAAAGACAGTGTCAACAACAGCCTGCACTTTGAATGAGGAACTATTGCACAACTTCAGGGGCTACTCAAACCTACACAACAGCCAAAGAATCTCTCTTCTCTAAAGGTCAAATGTATATGATTCTCATTTCACAATACAGAGTTAAATCTCACTCTTGTAAAGCACACACGCTCAAAGACCTAATAGGAGAAGAGTTCAACTGCTAGCAAGTCATGGAGGCATTTAGTTGGTAACTGCGTGGAGTCATTGTTTTTCGTTACCTTGTCGTCGGCCCCTGGTTCCTGCGCTGTGTAACGGCTGTCATCCTGTGCTGGGAGTCCTGGGCCAGAGGAGATCTCTTCTGAACAATAAACATGATGACAAGAGTGCCTGTAACACACAGAGACAAACGTAAGATTCCCAAACATGGAAATGAGCTACATGTACCAAATATACCATGTGATATAAAAACTCTCTTAACACTCTGCACCGGTCTGCACCATGTATGCACTGCAAACGGAGTAATGTGAACCTGGCATTATGTGCGTGCTGCTGCGAGTGTGCATGAGCGCAGTCTCCAGGAGAGCGCGTGAGCGCTGAATGGTTAAACACTGGCAATGTGTTGCTTATATTTAACGCGTTTCAAAAAGGCGGGGCATAGAGGAGAAACAATAATGTACAGTATATGGAAAATAATGTTTTTTTAACTTTACACCGCATAAAAACTTTTCATAACACCAAATACACAAAATAATGTTCTTTTTAGCAGCATCATATGACCCCTTTAAACATGTCTGTGAAAGATTGCATTACTGTACTGTGTAAAAAAAGAATTGCAATGCTGAAAAAGAATTTTCAGTGACAATGTTTGGATTTGAAAACAAAACTAATGGATAAATGTTGTGTTTGTAGTAAACAGCCACAGATCAGTAGCGGACTCCTGTGTGAAAGCAGAGTCTGTGCTGCTTCCCCTCTCACAAGAGTCACCTAAGAGAGGAATTCCCCCCCATTTTCAAAAATGAAATTGAGGCCCTGAATAAATGTCTAAAAATCCTGATTGGAGTATTACTATAAATAGTTATAAATGATAAAAAGAAGGCTTTAAAAGATCGGCATCGGTGATCGGTATCGGCAGATACTGCTTTCTGTGATCGGCAATCGGCCTCAAAAATCCTGATCGGAGCACCCCTATTACTATTGCATAGTTAAATGTATTCTTTTTTAGAGTAGTAAAAATAACAGTAGTACAAGTTAATAAAAAAGGAATATCACACAAATCAAAATATTATTTCCATGTTTTAATTTATAGGCTACTTTTAACCACAAAAACTAGTTTTATTTAATTTGATAAAAAAAATTATTGACGTTTTATGAATTTGTTGGCGGTGCAAAAACAAAAGTAATTTGGATGAAATAAAAGATTGCACAGGGCCGTATTATTGTTGAAATTAATAAATTACTACATCTCGGCAGATACTGCTTTCTGTGATCGGCAATCGGCCTCAAAAATCCTGATCGGAGCACCCCTATTACTATTGCATAGTTAAATGTATTCTTTTTTAGAGTAGTAAAAATAACAGTAGTACAAGTTAATAAAAAAGGAATATCACACAAATCAAAATATTATTTCCATGTTTTAATTTATAGGCTACTTTTAACCACAAAAACTAGTTTTATTTAATTTGATTAAAAAAATTATTGACGTTTTATGAATTTGTTGGCGGTGCAAAAACAAAAGTAATTTGGATGAAATAAAAGATTGCACAGGGCCGTATTATTGTTGAAATTAATAAATTACTACATTGCTAAAGTTGCCATGTTTGGAAATGATGAATGCACAGTGCACTGACAGCAGTATCTAAAAGGAATATTAACTGACACTCTGCACCAAACTGATCAATTAATCATATAGTCATCTCCTCCTAATCCTACCAGTTTAATTTAACCACCAGCATAGATCCACATGGGAGGTAAAATCATGGCACAGATCTTGTACTATGCATCTGATCTCCAAAGAAAGCTGTCAGATGACTTTTTGGAGAATGAACAACAGCTGGGGCTTGTCATTATACACACACTCTCTGTCTCACTCTCGTTTCAGATAGTAACAAAGTAACTTGAGAGTATCTTGTACTATGCATCTGATCTCCAAAGAAAGCTGTCAGATGACTTTTTGGAGAATGAACAACAGCTGGGGCTTGTCATTATACACACACACTCTCTGTCTCACTCTCGTTTCAGATAGTAACAAAGTAACTTGAGAGCGTCACCTTGACTAGATTTAGGAGTCAGGAGAACCTGTACACATGCAGGCTCATGTTAGCACACTGTCAGCACCTCGGTCTGTACGGTCAAACCCTCATTTAACATCAGACATTAACCACTGTCAAGTGATTCCTCTGATGGGACTCTTCTCCTTATTATCAGGCCTTGTAATTAGGTGTTTACTTGAGGAAAGCATGTATGGGGAAGTCACAGCAGTAAAGACACACCCACTTTAAGATATATTGAAATAACAAGGAAAAATTGCACAAAAAAACCCATAAATGACCTATTGTAAAATTATGTTTATAAGACAACAGAGGAAAAGGAAGGCTTTTACACCCCTCCGATTTTGTGTTATCAACCCTCTACGCACAACTTGGCAATTGAATCGCCATTGGCTAGTAAATTTTTTAGTCACTCGCCAGACTGATATACTATTTATGCATGTGTGTGTGTGTGTGTGTCACCTGTACACATGCAGGCTCATGTTAGCACACTGTCAGCACCTCGGTCTGTACGGTCAAACCCTCATTTAACATCAGACATTAACCACTGTCAAGTGATTCCTCTGATGGGACTCTTCTCCTTATTATCAGGCCTTGTAATTAGGTGTTTACTTGAGGAAAGCATGTATGGGGAAGTCACAGCAGTAAAGACACACCCACTTTAAGATATAATGAAACAACAAGGAAAAATTGCACAAAAAAAAAAACATAAATGACCTATTGTAAAATTATGTTTATAAGACAACAGAGGAAAAGGAAGGCTTTTACACCCCTCCGATTTTGTGTTATCAACCCTCTACGGACAACTTGGCAATTGAATCGCCATTGGCTAGTAAATTTTTTAGTCACTCGCCAGACTGATATACTATTTATGCATGTGTGTGTGTGTGTCTGTGTATGCATGTATGTATATTATATATACACACACACACACACGTGCATCTCAAAAAATGTGAATATCATGAAAAAAGTAATTTTTTGTAACATTTTAAAAAGTGAAATTTTCATATATTCTAGATTCATTACATGTAAAGTAAAACATTCCAAAAACATTTTAGTTTTAATTTTGATGATTAGAGCTTACAGCTCATGAAAGTCAAAAATCCAGAATGTCAAAATATTAGAATATTTACATTTGAGTTTCATTAAAGGGGTCATATGATGCGATTTAAATTTTTCCTCTCTCTTTGAAGTGTTACAAGCTCTTGGTGCATAAAGAAGATCTGTAAAATTGCAAAGACTAAAGTCTCAAATCCAAAGAGATATTCTTTATAAAAGTTAAGAGTCAGCCACGCCTACCTAAAACGGCTCGTTCTAACACGCCCCCACATGTCTACGTCACTATGTGGGAAGATTTGCATAACGCCGCCCAAATGTTCACACAAAGAAAAAAGGCGTAACTTTTATTCAGAAAGGCGGGGCATAGAGGAGAAACAATAATGTACAGTATGTGGAAAATAATGTTTTTTTTTTTTTTTTACTTTAAACCGCATAAACACATTTCATTACACCAAATACACAAAATAATGTTCTTTTAGCAACATCATATGACCCCTTTAAATGATCAACTCTACAGTATAAATTCCGGGTATCTCTTGTTCTTTGAAACCACAATAATGGGGTAGACTGCTGACTTGGCAATGGTCCAGAAGACAATCATTGACACCCTCCACAAAGAGGGTAAGTCACAGAAGGTCATTACTGAAAGGGGTGGCTGTTCACAGAGTGCTATATCAAAGCATATCAAATGCAAAGTTGACTGGAAGGAAGAAATCGGGTAAGAAAACATGCACAAGCAACAGGGATGACCGCAAGCTTGAGAATACTGTCAAGCAAAGCCGATTCAAACACGAACTGCACAAAGAGTGGACTGAAGCTGGAGTCAGAGCATCAAGAGTCACCACACTCAGACGTCTTCAGGAAAAAGGCTACCAAGCCACTTCTGAAACAGAAACAACGTCAGAAGCGTCTTACTTGGGCTATGGAGATAAAGAGCTGGACTCAGTTGCTCAGTGGTCCAAAGTCTTCTTTTCAGATAAAAGTAAATTTTGCATTTAATTTGGAAATCAAGGTCTGGAGTATGGAGGAAGACTGGAGAGGCACAGAATCCAAGCTGCTTGAAGTCCAGCGTGAAGTTTCCAAAGTTAGTGATGATTTGGGGTGCCGTGATGTCTGCTGGTGTTGGTCCATTGTGTTTTATCAAGTCCAAAGTCATTGCAGCCGTCTACCAGGACATTTTGGAGCATTTTATGCTTCCATCTGCTGACAAGCTTTATGGAGATGTTGATTTCCTTTTCCAGCAGGACTTAGCACCTGCCCACAGTGCCAAAACCACTTCCAAAAGGTTTGCTGACCATGATATTACTGTGCTTGATTGGCCATGAACCCCATATGGAATCTATGGGATATTTTCAAGAGAAAGATGAGAAACAGTCAATCCAACAATACAGACGAGCTGAAGACTCAATAGTGCCTCAGCAGTGCCACAGGCTGATTGCTTCCATGCCATACCTCAGTGATGATGTCATTTGTGCTTAAGGAGCCCAGACCAAGTATTGAGTGCATTAATGATCATACTTTAAAGAACTTGAGTTTTTCTGTTTTGCAAATCCTTTTTTTATTGATCTTAGGAAATATTCTAATATTCTGAGATACTGGAGTTTTGACGTTCATGAGCTGTAAGCTCTAATCATCAAAATTAAAACAAAAAAACTTTTGAAATGTTTTATAGTAATACTGTATATATAATGTTTGTAAAATGGCACAGCTTTTTAAATATCTGAAAGTCAATTCTTAACATCAGTCAGTCAAGCATTATATATAATAATCAAGTATTATTTAATGATAGAACTTTAGTAATTAGAATTAAAACCATGTATGAATGCATATTAGTCATTTTAACTGAATTTAGGACTGGTGGTGCTGCTTTGTTGCTCATTCAGTGTTTCTGTAAAAAAATGAATGGGGGAAAAACGAACAATAATACTGATATGATAATAATAATAATAATAACAATAATAATAAAATAATATTAATTTTGAATTCTACTAATAAGAACAATATAAAACGCACTAAGGATTAATGAGCTGTTGACACATACAGATTTATTATTTTGCACTC